CAACCTCCCAAGATCCTAGGAAGGATTGGATATGCGTTACAAAGTTTTGGTGAGCTACTAACTGGTATACAAATGAGGGACAATATTCTCCACCGTGTCCACTCATAGCTGTCACTTTAAACCATTTCAGTATCCAAGTCTGTACAACATGTAACACAGCACTGAGTTATGTTCCATCCCATCACATTCTCTCACTGTCTTATGGATGTTAGTCATTTTTCCTCAGCTTGGTTGTGAAGTCTCTCAATGTAAAATACAGTATCTAATACTACCTCTCTAACCCCGGCATTGCTGTAATGACTGCTAGTCTAATCTAGATAAGTCCTAGCTGGTAAGGTCTGGATGGGGTCACAATGGGATTTAGATATAAGTGGATAAGTTAGTGAGGCGTCAGTGTTCCAGAATTTTTCTGAAGTAGAAAAGTGTTACACTTCAGTAGTCCAAGAAAACTGGGATTAAGGTTAGCATACACCTTGTGAAGTCTATGTACTCTCAATTTAGATTGTGTTTCTTCAGTAGTCCAAGAAGACTGGGATTAAGGTTAGCATACACCTTGTGAAGTCTATGTACTCTCAATTTAGATTGTGTTTCTTGGATATATTCATTGAATTTTTATAACAACCCGTATTAGACATGCTTACTGTTGGAAAGCAGAAGCAAGAATATCCTTCAGACATCTAACCCAGCCTTTGGTTACCCCAATCAGAAGGGTCAGACTACCCAATCTTGATACGTTGTTAAACATGGTCTCCTGATGATCTGCTTATAGATTATTCATTTAATCTGAAATTTACTTCTCAGCTTTAATTATCTAGTTTCTAGAGTCCTAAAGAATATTTTTTCCTAACAGGCCTACTCTGAAAAAAGTTCTATGGTAAAGATTAGGACTAACAACAAGAGACAGGGATAAGGCTAGAGTTAGGGTTAGCAATACCTTTAGGTTCAGAGTTAAGGTTATGATTAGGTTTATGGTTAGTGTTGGGTTAGGGTGCAGTTTAGGATGATGGTGAGATTTAGGTTGAGGCTTAGAGTTAGCATTTATGCTAGGGTTAGTGTTTGTGTTAACTCTACCCTCAAGGATACTAGTTAGGGTTAGTGTTAAGGTTAGGGTTAAGTTAGATTCCAGGACACAAAGGGCACTTTTATAAAAGATATTCTTGCAAATTTTACTTTGTATGGTAAAAGAACACATCGTCCACATTTTTACCTATTTCCTTGGAACTAGCAAAAACACCATTGTAGTAGAATGCCTATTTTACAGTATTCCACAATTAGAAACAACTATACAGTTTTCCAGAGTTGATCAGAGTATTTTTTAAATCTCTAATACAGAAAAGGCAAGCAACACCTTTAATGTCAACGTTAACTCCCAAGAGGTCAATTTGTCAATGGTATTCAATTTATACCACCTTCTTCCCTTGACATTCCCGGTCACCAACATAAAAGCTGATACCATTAAAGTAAAATGCTGTGATCTGAAAAGCACTAATATTTTACCTGAAAAACATTTATCTATCTATATCTATCTATCATCTATACACTTTTGGAGCATCAGTCACTTGTCAAGCACCATAAACCAAAACACAATCTGTTTAATAAGGTTTCCAAATCATTAGATGTCACTCAAATAGGTATTTTCAGCCAGACCTCACTCTCCAACAACTTGAATGTCTATTGATTGAACGATGTCCTCACATAGCATCTGAACTTCACTAGGTCCAAACATGGTCTCCACAGCCCTCACCCAACACACCTGCTTCTCCTTCTTTTCTTCCATTTGATTTAATGGCAGTACCATTTACCAAGCGCTCCAAACCAGAAACTTTTCATCAACTCATTTTCCTCACCTCCCCTGTCCCATCCTGTTGTGAAAATTACCTCAAACCTTCTTTCTGCCCCTCTCTTCGGTTCTATTATTTCTTGCCTAAACCATTTGCAACAGCCTCTTAAATAACCTTCAAATAACTCTCCTACCTCCAGCCTCTTCATTGTCCAATCTGTCCTCCCCACACTGTCACCAAAATGTGCCATGTTTGCTATACCACCCACCAGTTGAAAATCTATGCTAGGTTCTGTTCTAGAGTCTCTTTCATGAAAACCTTCTCACTCCTCTGTTGGCCTGGAATTTTCCACTTCCTTCTTTGCACCCTCCCATACCTTGTACATCTATGGTTGTGCTTACCATAGTTTATTACACGTGTTTCCCTTGAGTAGATGATAAACTTCTCAAAATTAAGATGATCTCATTCACTCCTGTACAACCAGTTCACAGAACAGTGCCTGGCATATGGTAGGTGCTCACAACATTTTGCTGGAAAAAAAAAAAAAATAGCTTACAAGACCAAGTAATGCTCACAGATCCTCTTTATATAATAGTGTGTCCGGTCCCAAAATAAAACTTATGCTGTGTAAGGCTTCTTTAAAAAGCACACCCTGCATCTTAACAGGAAGTTACAGATTAATAAACAGCTGACGGAACAAACTAAACAGCATCCAGTGAATCACCAGGGGACCGTTCAACTGCTAACTAAATTCAGGGAGAGCGACAATGGGCCCAAACCATCATTCCCCATTGATGGGAAGATTTTGCAAAGATGCTTGAAAGCCCTGGGTATCAGGGCGATGCCTATTTTCCTACACTGTAGTGGAAATTCAGGAAGAGAGAAAAGCCATAGCAAAAATGAATTTGGAGGGCTATGTGAATACAGACACCAGATAAATACCAAATTTGTGGCCACAGCATGTCTACCACACCCTACTTCATCCATTGTGTAACATACAGCCTTGCAAGAGGTATATACTCAGTTTTTAAGTTACTCTTCATGAGAATATATGGTGAATACATAGACGAGACACGGATTTACCCTGGATTTTCTTCTGCCTTTGCCACCTCTGCAACACCAAGACCAACCCCTTATCTTCCTCCTCCTCCTCGCCCTACTCAACATGAAGACAAAGAGAATGAAGGCCTTTGTGATGATCCACTTCCACTTAATAAATAGTAAACATATTTTCTCTTCTTATGATTTTCTAAATAGTTTTTCTCTAGCTTACATTACTATAAGAATAGAGTATTGTATACTCAAAATGTGTGTTGTTTATGTTTTCATAAGGCTTTCAGTCAACAGTAGGCTACTGTTATACTGTTATAACAACAGTTATAAGTCAAAAGTTATACTTGGGTTTTCCACTTCGAGGAGGGTGGCAGGATGTGGGGGTAGGAGAGGCTGCCTCTAACTTCCTGGGCATTCAAGGGCCAACTCTGTATGGTTTTCTGTAACTACTAGCTGTCCGCACTGTGTGGAACTAAGACGAGGCTGAGGAAGCTGGTTTCACAATTTTAAAATCCAAGAGCTCAGCTGCCGTCTTCATTACAGAGCTGAGGGCCCAAAAGGCGCAGCCTCGGGCTCAGGCTGCCCAGAGCAGATGCCTCCCACCTGAAGCACTTCTCACAAACATAATGTTAAAACCCAGCACCTTGGAAGGTTAGATCTGATTGAGAACTCCCATTAGCAGCTCTCTCCTGGAAAGGTGTATGTGTCCAGAGGTAATAGGAGAGGTGGACCGGCCCGTGACAATATACAAACCCATCACGGCCAGACCATATTTAAAAATAGAACTCTGACCCATGACCCCTGCAGCAACCTGACCCAGAGTGTCAGGACTTGATCAATAACCACAAACTTCCCTAAGGTTTGCCTTTCCCTTTCCCCCTTCCAACTCAGGACCAACCCAAGAAAGCCAAATACGTTTACCAACCTAATCACATGGGATACCTGCCTCCAGGTCCCAGACGCCAGCAGCCTTCAGTCGGGGCACACCTTGAAGCCTTCCTTTTTCCACTATGAAGCGTCCCCACGCCGCAGCCTGCCTCTGAGTCTTGCCACCGCAAGCTCTGAATAAACAGCCTCCCACTACGGTGGCCCTGGTGGATTTCCACTGGGTGTCTGTGGAGCACACCGGGAACTTGCCTACTGTGATGGAAGGCGGCCTCGCCCTTGGTGGGGTTGGGTAGGTGGGAACTGGAATTGAAAGGGGGCACCTTCCAGTTCGGTGGGAGGAGTTGGGTGCAAGTAGAAAGCCCAGGGTGACGCCTCAGGCCAGGAGGTGGAGGTAGCTGGAGAAAGGAGGAAGGAAGCAAAGAAATCCTCCCTGCGGCGGTCCCCTGCGCCGGCCGCGGGAACAAGGGATGTGCGCGGCTGGTGGGTCCTCCCCGGCCCGGCCGCTGAGATGGCGGTGACTGTGGAGGCAGCCGGGCCGTGCCCGCCTGGAGAGCGCCGGGGCGCTGGCCGCGGCTGTCCCCGGGAGCCGAACCGCGGGAGGGCGCTGTGCGGAGCCGGTGGTGACCTGCTCGACGGAGTTGGCCGCCATCACCCTACTGGTCCTGTGCTACGTGCCCGAGGACTGCCCGGGAGCCAGACCTGCCAGCTGGTGCAGGACACCAAGGTCCAGACTGCAGCAGGGAGAAATAGTGCTGCGGCCTGGAGAAGCGCATTAGCCAGGACCAGAGGACATCTGCGAGCTGACGGGCGGCCAAGGGGAGGAAGTCCGGCTGGTGAACCTCGTGGTGGCGATGTGGCGCAGATCCCCCACGGTACCATGCTGCCTGCTACCACGGCATTTTCAGGGAGGATCAGAGAAGAGGAGGAAGGCGCTGACCTCAGATCCCAGCCTGCCGTCGGCATCCTAGGCAAGGGAGGGCTCTGGTTATAACTCACAAGCAGGCCTCATCGTGTCTCTGCTGATTTTTTTGTTGAAACTAAGAACAGAGGGAGTTAAAACAAAACAAAAACAGGTTCTCACGGGACCAGCGTGGACACAACAGCCCGAGAGGGTGAAAGCAAAATGCGGCCGATTCAAACATACACCAAAAAATATAATAATTCTACAAGACAAACTTATAAAATTATCCATAATGATTGGCAAGTGTAGTTGGCTTATGGCTATTACCCTCACTTTGTCTCCTTAATGACAAATTTGGCAATACAGACTTTTGGGACTTGGTGCAACCAATGAACTTTAGATTGCATTACACTTTATACCGAATGTATTATTCAGTTTTTCGTTATCAGAATAACAATCTTGGTGGTGGCTGTTCCTGAAAGCTTTTCTTTTGCAGTTCCCCTTTCCTTGGCTTATTCTGTAAAGAAAATGAAAGATAATCACTCTGTGAGACATTTGGGTGCGTGTAAAACTATGGGAAATGCAACAGTCTTTTGTTCTGATAAAGCAAGCACATTACTATTCCAGGAGTCCAGACTTCCACTGATGAAGCTCATTGTATAACTCCCATAACCATTTTGAAATACCTTTTTGACAAGTATTGCTGTTCATTGTTCTTATAATTATAACAATATTTTAGTTGTTGAGGGTCCACCCCAACAGATTGGCAATATAATAGAATGTGCCTTTTTGGGATTTCATCATCATTTAAGAATAGATTTTGAGAAAGAAAAGAAAAAGGAAGGAAGGGAGGGAGGGAAGGAGGGAAGGAAGAAGGAAGGGAAGGAGGGAAGGAGGAAGGGAAAGAGAGAGAAGGAAGGGAAAGAGCATACCATAGGCTCATGCCTGTAACCCCAGCACTTTGGGAGGCCAAGGCGGGCAGATCACTTGAGGTCAGGAGTTCGAGACCAGCCTGGCCAATATAGTGAAACTCCGTCTCTACTAAAAATAGAAAAATTAGCCGGGCATGTTGGCGGTCGCCTGTAATTCCAGCTACTTGGGAGGCTGAGGCACGAGGATCACTTGAACCCGGGAGGCAGAATTTGCAGGTAACAAAGATCATACCATTGCATTCCAGCCTGGGTGGCAGAGTGAGACTCCATCTCAATTAAAAAAAAAAAAAAAGGATACCACATAAGAGTTTATACCAAGTATTAGCATATATCTTCAACTCAGAGAGAAAAATCTATGTCTACTGTCTTCAAACTGCTTGATGAGGGTTTCTGGTTGTTCAAAGAGGGAGTCTCAGAACTATCATTTAACAGGGGTGTCAAATCCTGGATGAAGAGGGAATACCTGTATTTTCCAAAGTGGTGTGAAACCAACGGCTTGTGCAGGGCTAAGAATACCATGCCTGGCATTCAGAAATTCTGCAGATACTGACAACAAACCCGGCTGAGAATGTGTAAGATATTACTACAGATCTTGCATGAATTGCTTTTGTAGGCATTGAAGATGCTATAAGACCCAAGGCATAAGTTTCCTGTGGCTGCTTCAACAAAACTCTACAACCTGAGTAGCTTGAAACAACAGCAATGTATTTTTATCCAGTTCTAGAGCCCAGAGGTCCCAGAGGCCATTTTCCCTCTGAAGGCTCTAGGAAAAAATTCTTCCTTGCTTTTCTCAGAGATCTCGTGGTTGCTGGCAAACTTTTGGCATTCCTTGACTTGGAACTTCTATCTTCATATGGCCGTCTGTCTTCTGTATGTCTGTGTCCAAATTTCTCTCTTTTTTTCAGGACAGCAGTTTACTGGATTAGGGCCCCCCTAGTCTAATGTGACTTCATCTTGATTACATTTACAAAGACCTTATTCCAAATAAGGTCATGTTCACAGGAACCAGAGTTTGGACTTGAACACATCTTTTTGGGAGACCTATTTCAACCCTCAACACCTGAGGTACCAAATGCAGTTTCGTAATGCCAGCATATTAGATTCACTGCGTGTGTGATTCTAGCGACAATCTCCACATTGTAAGGGCTGTTGCCCTGAAATACAGCATTGTAAAGGTTCCAAAGGTTACCCATGTTTAGAGGGTACAGATTTCAAGAAACTAATGCATAAAAATGAAAATCAAGAACTTGAAAAAAAAAAACCAAAGGCTCAAAAACAAGGGATGATCAAAATTTCATGTACTTGCAAGATCCAGCTGGTGATGGTGAATTTTCTGTGTTAATTTGACGGGGCTGAGGGATGCCCAGCTAACTGGTAGAAACATTGTTTCTGGGTATGTCTTTGGAGCTGTTTCTGGAGGGACTGTTAGCATTTAAATCAGTAGACTAAAGAAGATTACCCCCACTCAATCTTTTGAGGCCCCAAATAGAACTAAGGGCCAGAGGAAGGGTGAATACATTCTCCCTGTTTCATCCGGGACATCTGTATTCTAATGCCCTGAGACATCAGCACTTCTCGGGCCTTCTTGGACTAGGAATTATATCAGCAGCTCTCCTGGTTCTCAGATCTTCAGACTCAGACTGAATTACACTGCCAGCTCTTGTGGTTCTCCAACATGCAGAAGGCCAATTGTGGGACTTAGCACCCTTCATAATCACGTGAGCCAATTCCTATAATAAATCTCCTCCTATATAACCTGTTGCTACTATTTCTCTAGAGAACCCCGACTGGTACACTGGCCTTACTGTTAAATATAATATTACTCAGTAAAAATGTGTAATGAATAAAGTTTCAAGACAGAGGCAAATTGTAACAGTTACTCGTGATGGTCCTAATGATGGCCCAGTGTTAAAGACAGCAGATGTTGGATCTGCAATGGAATTAACAGAAACAAATATAGCTAAAGAAGTTTCCGATATCATTCTTACCCATGACAACCTTGAAAGTATTGTTAAAGCTGTCATATGAGGTAGAAATGTTTATGACAGCATCTTCACATTCCTTCCATTTCACTTGGCTTTGGGTGTCACACTTGTGGCCTTCACAGCTGCGTGTGTTGTTGTCCAGGATTCTCCTTCTAAAGCTGGTCATACCCTTCTGGTGAATCTCATAATGGATGCTTTTGCTTCCTTCGCTCTGGCAACTGAAAAGACCATGGTGTCACTTTTGCTTTGTAAACCTTATGGTAGGAAAAAAATCTTTCCTGTTCATTTATAAAATTGGTATTAACAATTTTATATACAGTGTATAGTTACTTTTGGTCTTATGTTTGTTAATAAACTCCTTTTTGACAGTGGAAGAAATACCATCCGACATGCTCTTCCTTCTCTCCTTCTACCTATTTTGTAATGATATATTTATAATTTAGTACTTCTGTTAGATGCAACTTTTTTTAAACTTTTTTTTTTTTGAGACGGAGTTTCACTATTGTCGCCCAGGCTGGAGGGCAGTGGCATGATCTTGGCTCACTGCAACCTTGCCTTCCAGGTTCAAGTGATTCTCCTGCCTCAGCCTCCTGAGTAGCTGGGATTACAGGTGCCCACCACCATGGCTGGCTAATTTTTTGTATTTTTAATTGAGACAGGGTGTTGCCATGTTGGGCAGGCTGGTCTCGAACTCCTGACCTCAGGTAATCCACCTGTCTTGGCCTCCCAAAGTGCTGGGATTACAGGCATGAGCCACTACACCCGGCCAACTTTTTAATGAAATTAATGCCAGGAAGCTTCGTTGCAAAACAAACATATTTGAGAGACTTTTCAGTAATATCTTTTGTCTAATGGTCAGGGGAACATTTGCTGTATCATGTGGTATGGTGCAATATTGGAGACAAGTGTTCCACTGTACAAATCTTAGTCCAGACATGTGGCCATGGTGCATTTTCCAAGGAGTATGAGTGTTACTGGGGGTTCAGCTCTTAACTACAGTTCCCAATAACTGTATGGAGCCCTTCATAAGACTTTCACTGGGGGGAAAGATTTTCTAAGATTTTTACTGAATTTACTAAAGATACGTGAGCGTCAGAATTAAAAATGCAAAGCAAAGGTCCTTTTTGGGTGCTGTGCTGAGGTAGAATCAGAGATCCAGTTAGAAAGACAGAAGCATGGCTGGGCACAGTGGCTCACACCTGTAGTCTCAGCTACTCTGGAGGCCGAGGCAGGAGAATCGCTTGAACCCGGGAGGCAGAGGTTGCGGTGAGCTGAGATCGCGCCACTGCACTTCAGCCTGGGCAACAGAGTGAATCTCCATTTCAAAAGAAAAAAAAAAAAAGAGAAAGATAAAAGCATGTTATTTCTCCCATTCATTCACTGTCTTTATCAGGTCACCCAGTATAAGGAAAGGAACCCGTTCCAAATTTACACACGTTTTATCTTAAATACTTAAAATATCCTAATATCCCTTAAATAATTTCATTTTATCCTTTTCCTAAAATCTTGGATTTTGTTTTTATAATAAATGCATGAACTGAGTTGTCATCACTGCTACTTTTAAAAGCTGTTTTTTGGAAGTGAGGGATACACAGAGACCTGTATTTAGATAGAAGGATAATGTGAGAATTCCTTATAACTAAAGCATGGACAAGAGACAAATATTCTGTCGTATTTCCTTTCATCTTTTAGCAGAAGTGCAAGAACAAAATTATGAATAAGTTAATATATTAATATTTGCTATTAATAAAAATCAACTATCTACATTACACGAGACAAAGGCATGTTTAAAAGGCCAAGTACCTTATTGAAACTGTTGATATTATATAGTGTAGATAAAGGATACATGTTATTATAAAAACACAGGCAACTTAGTTGCTTCTAAAAAATACAGGCAGCTATGGTCCAATGTAATGGCTTTTGAATTAAATTGTTCTTTAAGTACAGATACCCTTCATGATTACTAAAAGGAAAAGGAGAGAAAATCCGAACCATATTTTCTCTGTTGCCTGGCCAAGCTACCATTGAAACTGGGTCCTTGCAGTGCATCTGAAACATAACAAGGGCTCCATTAGCCAGGCGTGTTGGTGGTAGCCTGTAATTCCAGCTGCTTGGGAGGCTGAGGCATGAGGATCACTTGAACCCGGGAGGCAGAGTTTGCAGGGAACAAAGATCATGCCACTGCACTCCAGCCTGGGTGGCAGAGTGAGACTCCATCTCAATAAAAAAATAAAAAAATTTAAAAAAAAGCGTACCACGTAAGAGTGTATACCAAGTATTAGCATATATCTTCAACTCAGAGAGAAAAATCTGTGTCTACTGTCTTCAAACTGCCTGATGAGGGTTTCTGGTTGTTCAAAGAGGGAGTCTCAGAACTATCATTTAACAGGGGTGTCAAATCCTGGATGAAGAGGGAATACCTGTATTTTCCAAGGAAATACAGGAACTCCTAGTCTTAGTATTCCTAAGACTTCCTAGTCTTAAGGAAAATGAACCATAAGACTAGGGAAAAGTGAGGTAAGCAATGGACTTTTTGCTTGTGTGACAATTTTTTTTTTGAGTGGGGGAAGCAGAGTCTCGCTCTGTTGCCCAGTCTGGAGTGCATTAGCATGATCTTGGCTCACTGCAACCTTGGCCTCCCAGGTTCAAGTGATTCCCATGCCTCAGCCTCCTGAGTACCTGGAATGACAGGCGTGCACCACCGTGCCCAGTCAATTTTTGTTTTTGCTTTTTTTTTTTTTTTTTTTTTAAGTAGAGATGAGGTTTCACCATGTTGGCCAGGCTGGTCTTGAACTCCTGGCCTCAAGTGATCCACCTGCCTCGGTCCCCCAAAGTGCTGGGATTACAGGCATGAGCCACCACACCTGGTCTTGTGTGACCAATTTAATAATTGGAATGTGAGTCATCTTCTGTTTAGACATTTTTGCCTTAAAGATTTAGCTTTAAGGTTACATTTGGGAGATTTCATGTTTGGGTTTGTCACTAAACTCTACAAATTTTGCTCTTAATTATCCATTATGGGGAACCATAGACTCTATCCCTTTCCATATTTCTGTTTAATTGTTCTGCATACCAAGCTTGAAATGATTTCACAATATAAGGTCTACTACATATACACAATGAGCCAGGGAATTTGGCCCTGTAGTGTGTTTACCTCTTTGTCTATAGATTCTTTCAATAAATCAGGCATTTGTTTGAAAGCTCCAGTGTGAACAGCACTGTTCGGAAGATTTTAGAGTGGTAAGGAGAATAGAGACATGCTCTCCGTCTTAGAGCAAATTTTTGAGTGGTAAACTTCATAAAGCATGAATATACTTAAATAGATGCTTATTTTACTTACTGGAGAACCCACTAACTTCCGAATTTACGGTTAGTGACTTCACATGCACCAGAGAACCCCATAAGAATTCAGGCTTCCCAAAGTTTAAAAAGCTTCTTATTCACTTCTGATTTTTTTTTTCTTTTGTTTGTCAGTTACAACAAGCCTCAGACTTTTACTAATGGATATTGCTATTTTCTAACAAGGAGGGAATCTCTTTTCATGACCACAGTTGCAATTTGTATTTATGAGGACATAATGACAAGAACCATCTAAACATGTCTAGTAATCTGATGAGCCAAAACCCCAAGATTCTTAAGAAAATGCTTACTTTTATTCTAACGTAAAAGTTAGAAACACGTCTTTTCTGAATTATTTGAATGCCTGATAAAAGAACCAATGGATTAAAAAAATTCATTTGCTGCTTTCTTTGATTAATACATTTAAAATAATCAGTGATTTTTTAAAAAACCAATGCTGTAATAGAGCTTATATTTGAAAGTTTTGGAGAATTGTTATGTCTCAGATATCATACCATGGGATATGCTTTAATTTATGGGGAAATTATATCCAAGAGTGATTATTATTTATTTCTGGTTTCTAAACAACGTTTGCTACTTTTTTTTGAATTATGATGCAATAATTGACTTACGAAACGTATTTTTATCAAACTTTGCATGATATCAGGGCTGTTAATGTTCTGGAAAAGAAAGTGATATTAACAGTAATGATGCTTCTCAATTTCCTCCTTGTGTCCAAAGAGGTTGCTAACAGGACATCCTCCTGAGGAGGAAGGAAGGACTTCTCATTCTGACTCAGTGATTATTCATTTCTTTCTCTAAACAATCCAGAGTCAGCTTTGAAAGGGGAGAATTCCTTTCTGGCCACAGCCCTGTGGAGCTGGGATGTTAGCCTGTTAAGTTCATAGCTCATTTGTCCATACGCTCTCCTCACCTTCCAGGTGCAGGAATTAAATCTCCAGGCCTGGGAATAACTCGGAGGAACTAGTTCCAGGGCAGAAGAATCTCAGCTGGTGCTAAAAGCAGTCATGTGGCTCCCATCCACATGGCAGCAGTCTTCGTGGTCACAAAGAGAATGGGGCTGTCCTCTTTTCCTCCACTCTTTTCTAGGACTGCTTTTCTCTTTCAGGATTGCCTCAGGTGATGATTTAAATCTAATTTATTTGACTAGTATGTGTCTGTCTTGGGGAGAGGACTTGGTTCAACAGGCCTTGATGCAGAATCTGTTAATCCTTCCTTGCCCCTGACTCATCCCCTCCAATCTTCTGGGGAAGCTCTGCTGGTTGCCATTGGCAAAAGAACTTGCTTGCATCACAATTAGTACTCTATAGCCAAGTCTTTGCCAATAGAGTTAAGGGATCAAAAAAAGTGAACTCCAGAAACACCAAGGATAGTACTAGTGGGTTTTCTGACAAATGGGATATAACTTGCTTAGTGACCTCATCCCACCTCATTTCTTTTATGTTCCCCATTATTAGAATAATCGTCCTCCATAAGTGCTTTTCCATACCTGTTTTCCAAAAACTATCAGTGGATCGTATTTGCTATGAGATTAAATGTAACTGTTACTTGGCTTTTAAAGCCTTTCAAAATCCAGCTCCACCATGTCTTTCTAAATTCACTTCCTAAAGCTCCAGAATCCTGAGTAAATTCTCATTTCAATTGGAATCATTTCCATAAATATTCATTGAGCACCTAGTTGATCCCAGACACTGCTATGTACTAGGAATAAATAAGACAAAGTCCCTGCACTATAGGAGTTCATGACACATCAGGAGAATTAACACAAATGTAGCTATAATATAATAATAATAATAACGATCATTAACTTTTTTAGCCCATTCATATAGTCCAGGCACCGTTCTAAGCATTTTATATCAATGCATTTAATCCTCACAACATACCTATTAGATAGTATCATCAGTATCCTCATTTTATAGCTGAACCACAGAGGTTGTTTTCTAAGATCACACAGTTAATAAATCAGTAACGGAATCCAGACAATCTGGCTACAGAACCTACTTCCTTAACCACCATTTTATATAGATATTGTGAAGAGAGCTGTACTGGAAATGGAACAAAGTCTACAGGAACAGAAAGGATGCAATTCATTCAGCTTGGGGACATGGGAAATGGTGTCACAGAGACAATCTTGCTCTATTCCTTATTTATATATACTCCTACCTCTTGGAAAGGAATCAGGACAGCTCACACTCGGAGAAGTATGCATTAAAGTAATGATAAAAGAGAAATAAGGAGTCAGGCCCAGGGAAAATGTAAATATTGTAAGAAAATCAAAACCAGAGGAAAAGTAAATTTCTTCTTAAAGGAATAGCTTAGTTGGCCAGGCGCGGTGGCGCATGTCTGTAATCCCAGCACTTTGGGAGGTTGAAGTGGATGGATCACGAGGTCAGGAGCTCAAGACCAGCCTGGCCAAAATGGTGAAACCCCCTCTCTACTAAAAATACAAAAATTAGCTGGGCGTGGTGGTGGGCGCCTGTAATCCCAGCTACTCAGGAGGCTGAGGCAGAGAATTGCCTGAACCCGGGAAGCGGAGGTTGCAGTGAGCCGAGATCACACCACTGCACTCCAGGCTGGGCAACTGAGCAAGACTGCAACTCAAAAAAAAAAGAATAGCTTAGTTACACCATTACACCATGCTTTAGCATCTAATTTTGCTATGAACTTTCTGGTAGTCAAAGAGAAAAGCAAGTCAAGCTCAATTGCATGTTTATTGTCATAAAGGAAAAAGCAAACCAGTTTATCACAGAAGAAAACAAGCCTTCCTTAGAAGTATGTTCTAAAATAAAATTTTCAAGAGGGAGTTGTATTACTGTTACTGAGAACTGTAGTAGAAACCATGTCCCCTACAATTGTAACAAAATCTATTATTTTGTTACAATTATTTTCCTGTAACAAAATAATAGAAAAATTGATATGGCAGTTTCTTAAAACATTTGTTGATAAAAGCCAAGTATATTGCATTAATGTAATTTAGCAAAGATGATTCCATTAAGGATACTACTGTCTGAATTCAGAATCTTCCAGTGGTAGGACTTGGAGCTAAGTTTAGAAAAATCAGGATTTTTCTAGGCTTAGAAGCAGGGTTAAGGCATGCAAGGAGAAAAACAATATGATGTACAGTTTAGTGTGATTTCCCTGGTACATATTTGTGAGGAGGGAGGAATGGAGGCAAAGTCAGTCGGTGAACAAACTTTTATTGAGTGCCTCCTATGTGTCAGATCCTGTGCAGGCTTCTGGGATATGAGAATGACTAGGACAAAGTCCCCACCCTCAAAGAAATTACATTCAAGTGTGTAGGTATAGGGAAGGGATGGAAACTAGAAGAATAAACCTGGGAACAAATAAGTAAGTAATTTCACATGAGTGTTGATCATTATGATGAAGAAAACAGGGTAAAGTAAAGAACCTGGGGTAGAGGACTGCTTAAGCTGGGACCTTCAGGAGAAAGCCTCATAAATACTTGCTGAAGCACTTTTTCAGACAGAAAAGGTAGCAAATTTTAAGGCAGAAAACGAGACAGATTTTCTTCTAAGAATAATGAAAGCCAAAGGAGGATTTTAAGCAGGAAGTTGACAATGTGATTTACATTTTTATTTTTTATTTTTTTTTTGGGACAGAGTCTTGCTCTGTCACCCAGGCTGGAGTGCAGTGGTGCAATCTCGGTTCACTGCAACCTTCACCTGCTGGGTTCAAGTGATTCTCCCGCCTCGGCCTCCCGAGTAACTGGGTTTACAGACGCCCGCAACCAGACCCAGCTAATTTATTTGGTATTTTAAGTAGAGACCGGATTTCACCATGTTGGCCAGCCTGGTCTCGAACTCCTGACCTCAGGTGATTCACCCACCTCAGCCTCCCCAAGTGCTGGCATGAGGCACCACTTAAATTTTTAAAAGCTCATTCTGGCTGAGATGTGGAAGATGGAGCAGATGCATATTGAGAGAGAAAAATGGCAGAAATGCCAGTTGGGCGGCTGCTTGGAGAGACCAGGGGACATAATGGCAGCTTGGACTAGGGTTGTACATATTTTGGAAATAAAACAAATGTGGGGTATGAATGAGAGACTTTTGTATCAGGAAAGAAAGAAGAGTAAGTGGATCAAGTTACAAGTAGGTTACTGGGTTTGGTGATAAGGAAATTGATTAGTTGTCATTTGTGTCTATTTTTAACGTAATGCATGAGGCAAAACTATCACCTAATAATGATGGAAAGAGTAGATGATAGAGGTTTAATCAAGGATGATGCATAGTTGTGTTGTCAAAGCAAGTAGGTGAATGATGTGCCCTTTTCTTTCTCTTTCTTTTTTTTTTTTAAATTATACTTTAAGTTCTAAGGTACATGTGCACAATATGCAGGTTTGTTACATATGTATACACAGGCCATGTTGGTGTGCTGCACCCATTAACTCATCATTTACATTAGGTATATCTCCTAATGCTATCCTTCCCCTCTCCCCACACCCCACGACAGGCCCCGGTGTGTGAGGTTCCCCGCCCTGTGTCCAAGTGTTCCCATTGTTCAATTCCCGCCTATGAGTGAGAACATGCAGTGTTTGGTTGTTTTGTCCTTGTGATAGTTTGCTGAGAATGATGGTTTCCAGCTTCATTCATGTCCCTATAAAGGACATGAACTCATCCTTTTTTATGGCTGCATAGTATTCCATGGTGTATATGTGCCACATTTTCTTAATCCAGTCTATCATTGATGGACATTTGGGTTGGTTCCAAGTCTTTGCTGTTGTGAATAGTGCCGCAATAAACATATGTGTGCATGTGTCTTTATAGCAGCATGATTTATAATCCTTTGGGTATATGCCCAGTAATGGGATGGCTGGGTCAAATGGTATTTCTAGTTCTAGACCCTTGAGGAATCGCCACACTGTCTTCCACAATGGTTGAACTAGTTTCCAGTCCCACCAATAGTGTAAAAGTGTTCCTATGTCTCCACATCCTCTCCAGTACCCGTTGTTTCCTGACTTTTTAATGATTGCCATTCTAACTGGTGAGAGATGGTATCTCATTGCGGTCTTGATTTAGATTTCTCTGACGGCCAGAGATGATGAGCATTTTTTCATGTGTCTGTTGCCTGCATAAAAACCTTCTTTTGAGAAGTGTCTGTTCATATCCTTTGCCCACTTTTTGATGGGGTTGTTTTTTTCTTGTAAATTTGTTTGAGTTCTTTGTAGATTCTGGATATTAGCTCTTTGTCAGATGAGTAGATTGCAAAAATTTTCTCCCATTCTGTAGGTTGACTGTTCATTCTGATGGTAGTTTCTTTTGCTGTGCTGAAACTCTTTAGTTTAATTAGATCCCATTTGTCAATTTTGGTTTTTGTTGCCATTGCTTTTGGTGTTTTAGACATGAAGTCCTTGCCCATGCCTATGTCTTGAATGGTATTGCCTAGGTTTTCTTCTAGGATTTTTATGGTTTTAGGTCTAACATTTAAGTCTTTAATCCATCTTGAATTAATTTTTGTATAAGGTATAAGGAAGGGGTTCAGTTTCAGCTTTGTATATATGGCTAGCCAGTTTTCCCAGCACCATTTATTAAATATGGAATCCTTTCCCCATTTGTTGTTTTTGTTAGCTTTGTCAAAGACCAGATGGTTGTAGATGGGTAGTATTATTTCTGAGGGCTCTGTTCTGTTCCATTGGTCTATAGCTCTGTTTTAGTACCAGTACCATGCTGTTTTGGTTACTGTATCCTTGTAGTATAGTTTGAAGTCAGGTAGCATGATGCCTCTAGCTTTGTTCTTTTGGCTTAGGATTGTCTTGGCAATGCAGGCTCTTTTTTGGTTCCATGTGAACTTTAAAGTAGATTTTCCAATTCTGTGAAGAAAGTCATTCCTAGCTTGATGGGGATGGCATTGAATCTATAAATTAACTTTGGGCAGTATGGCCATTTTCATGATATTGATTCTTCCTATCCATGAACATGGAATGTTCTTCCATTTGTTTGTGTCCTTTTTTATTTCGTTGAGCAGTGGTTTGTAGTTCTCCTTGAAGAGGTCCTTCACATCCCTTGTAAGTTGGATTCCTAGGTATTTTATTCCCTTTGCAGCAATTGTGAATGGGAGTTCACTCATGATTTGGCTGTTTGTCTGTTATTGGTGTATAAGAATGCTTGTGATTTTTGTACATCGATTTTGTATCCTGAAATTTTGCTGAGGTTGCTTATCAGCTTAAGGAGATTTTGGGCTGAGACAAGGGGATTTTCTAAATATACAATCATGTCATCTGCAAACAGGGACAATTGGACTT